ACAGAGAGACAGACAGAGACAGAGACAGAGACAGAGACAGAGGGAAAGAAAGAGAGGCAGAAAGACAGACAGAGGGGGTCCTGAGCAGGCTGCCAAAGACTCTGTCTTTTCTAGGGAGATTTATAGAGAAAAACCATGGGGTGAGATGGGTTGAAGGTGGGCAAAAAGGAACTCTCAATGTGGGCATGAGGTGGGACAGAATTATGGTTAACCAATAAGATTAATTGCTCAGGTAAAAGTGATTAAATCAGGGACAAATGGGGAAGCCAGTCATGTAGAAAGCGGGAAAGAGAGCAGTGATTCTTCCCTAGGGGTTGGGGTGGTGACTCTTGGCTTCCTCAGGGTGACAGAGACCTACTTAGAATATCAGTCCTTAGGATGTGGGTGCATTTGTTTGATCTTTTTTTCTTTGGGCCTGGTCCACAGCGGGAGGTGTCTGTCTCCTTCACATTTGCAAGGTATCTGGACATCTGCACTGGTTCTTTCAAGGACCTAACCCTGTCTGATGGCCTAGAATGTTCCTAAGTAACTCAGCTGCCTGGTGACTGAGTTGTCAGGAAGTGCCCAGCACAAAGGGTCCCTGTGGGAAGGGGATGTGGAGAAAGATGTGTCCCTGTATGGTCTCCCATGTGGAAAACTGCAGGGAATTCCACCTATTTATGAAAACAAACAAATGAGTGAGCAGAGCTGCGGAGGACCTCTGTGAACCCGACCACGCCTGCCTCATTTCTTCATTCAGCCACAGAGCTAGGCCATCCTAGAACTGTGGGCAAGACAGCAGGGTGCCTGAGGAAATGGGCTGGGGAGACCCTGAGTGACCCCGACTCCATGTGGGGAGAGTGGCTCATGTGTCAAGGCCAGAGCCGCTAGGTGGGGACAGGTACCTGATACTGCTGGGTTTGGAACAACTGATTTCCAAGAACCTATCAGGCTGTGGTGAGGAAGGATGGCCATGGCTGTGGGCCAGGACAGGCCATCAGCGCCCAGCTGCTGAGTCACACCTTAGAGGAGGTATGACTCAGGACCTCAGGTGTAACCTTGAAGAGAGGTGTGTGTCTCTCTCTCTTCCCTTTGGTCTCTGCCCTGGCTGAGAATGTGGACAACCAGGGTGCTTTTAAGACCCTCAAGTTTATGCTTTGTGGGCCTTAGGACCAAGACCCGGAGGAAGCAATAGGGGTGGGCACTTATCCCTTCCTTAAGGGGGTGCAAAGAATGGGTGTCCCAAGAGTGGGGTGGAAGGAGGAACCTGAGACTTGAGTGATGGTGGTGGATGGGGTCCCTGCCTATGGGCCTGCAGGTCCCACTCCAGCAGTAACCAATGCAAGGCAAAGACCCTGAGCTACTCCTGCTGGAGAAGCTGTGAGCTCAGGACTGTGCCATAGCAGCCCCCAAATCACAAACACCCGGCTGGATGCAGACCTTGGCCAGGGGGAGGGGCTGTGATTTTCTGGCAGGAGAACACACTAGGCACAGGAGCTCCTTCCCCACTTGTCAAGCCTTTGGTGATACCTATGCCCTTTTGGCTGGGCCTTGGCCTGAGAGAGGCTTGGTCAGCTGGTGGCTACTGTGGGGAGCACTGGGGAGCCCAGTGTCCTGCGGGAACTGGGGGAAGACAGGTCAATGTCTCAAAGAGGAGATGAAGCTGATTTCAGGGCCAGAAGGAGAACCTGAGGCTGGCTTAGGCCTTGGCCCCTCTGTGGTGTCAGGCTGTTTGGGACAGGGGTGAGGGCAGGAAAGTGGGGACAGCTTCTTTCTAGGCCTAGCAAGAAAGCATGACAAGGAAAACAAGAGCAAACAAAGAACAAACCGGGCACTGGAACAGCAGTTAGGCCACTGCTGGCAGAGGCAGCCTGATTTCATCCTTCAGTACCCAGAGGAAAGACAGGTTGACACATCACACTTGAGGGAAGGTCAGCGATTGTTCCTGCTGCCAGCAAGCAGGTCAGGGATGCTACCCTCTGGCCGGTTCTGCTGCTGCCCAGGATGGACTCCACAGCCAAGAGCCCTTCATCTGCAACTGGAAGAGTGGTACCAGGACCCCTGGGACTGATGCCAGCAAAGCCTGCCTGGAACCCTGGCATCTGGTGCTGGACAGGCCCATTCTCTCCTGGACCCTCGAGAACCTTTGGGAAGTGGACGCTTTGTCAGGGGAGGCCTGTCCAGCGCCTCTGAGGGGATCTGACTCAGGTCCATGTCATGAAAGCAGCACTGGTAAAGCAAAATGAATGCTGTACCCTCTGGTGTCCTGGGGGCAGTGACTACCAGGCTGCATGGGCATCAGAGGGTTGTGCAGATCCTGGAGACTGGCAAAGATCTGGAGTGGACTGGGCATCCATGATCTGCCTAAAGTGCCTGCAGTAGCCCTGATGGCTGATGACAAAGCCAGTTGAGACCTGGAGAGGGATGATGAACCCAGGCTGATGGCCCTTGCTGTGGCTGCCTGGTGGCTAATCTACCACTATTAGCAAGGACCCATTGTCCCAAGTCCATGCACAGAGCTTTGTCCAGGCTGGTGCCACCTCAGGCTTTGTGTTTGGGGAGTCACAGGACACCAGAAAGTGGCTGTGCACACACCTGTGCAGGGGGACAGGCTGCCAGCGCCATGGAGACCCAGCACCCTGGATGTCTGTGATGTCCCTTGGGGCAATGAGGTATGAGGGTTGCTGCATTCTGACAGCCTCTCCTTCCCACGCCATGCTCCATGCTGACAAAGAAGGAGGGATGGTGATGCTGCTGGTACACTTCTGAGAAAGCAGGGACGTTGATGGTCAGTGCAAGCTCTGGGCCTCTGCTCAGCCAGCGCACAAGTGGCCTTATAGGGCTCTCTGTGACAGCGGTGTTGTGTCAGGTGTTCCCATGGAAGCAACAGGTCCCAGAGTGCATGGTCACCTGTGCCAGGGACCTAACCCAGACCTCAGCTCAGTGCAGCTGCCTGCTATTCAGGGAAGGCGATGGCTTGATGCTGGGCACAAAGCACATCTCTTGAGCTGCACTGGTACTGAGGCTGGTCACCTGTGAAACCATCTCCCACTCCAGTCCTGCAAACTCCCCAGTGTAAGAGAGGCCAGCCCCAAACTGACACTGCTGCTGCACAGACAGGTCCAGAAAGGCCCCGAGGGCCTGGACCACTGTGGCTGCCACTGATACCACGTGGCTTGAGACCGGAGGACATCAGGCATCTAGAGCAGTGTGGCTGGCTCTGGCCTTGGGTGGTCTGTCCTGGCCTGACCATTTGCCAGACTCACACTGCTTGGTACAGGGCACAAGGGATATTGTCTCCTGGCTTTGCCAACCAGAGAGTGATGATATGGCCACTGCCAAGGTCTGGAGAAGCTGAAAGCTATGTGCTGGAACCTGTGCTGGACTGAGAGTGAGTAGGAACCCATCTCATAGCACATGTGAACCAGGGTTTGTGAAAACACATGGTGACACACTCATCTGCCCCAGAATCTAGGTTGCAGGGTGGGCACCAAGGGAGAGTATTGGAAGGGGCTAAGCACAACATTGGGCTTGGCCCACTGTGGCAGCTGGACTGAAGTCCTGGAGGACTATGGGCAAACCTCATCACCACGTGGCTGGCATGGCTGAGTGCCAGGAGTGCCAGCCCAGACACTGTCACTTCCCAGCTGCTCACCCTCACCTGTGCTGTTGTTTGGACAGGGGTCGGCACTGTTGCCGTGGAATAGCGGTGAATCCTGTGGGTCCCAGGGACTCCCGGCTGCTCCCCCAGAAGAGCAGCTGCTTTCTCCTGCAGTGTGAGGCGTTTCAGCTCCCAAGCTTGGATCCCCTTGATGCTGTTGGACTCTGGACCTGGGTTATGGCTTGTGCCTTGTGGGCAGCAGTTGGTCTCCAGGTCTGGTGTGCCATTTCACCCTTAGTTCAGAGATCACCCGCGGGTCTGGCCTGCCTGTTGCATGTGTCGTGGGCTCCAGAACACCAGCCCCCAGCCACTGCCATGCTGTCTGACCAAGAAGCTATCACAGGAGTGTCATGCTGGGCATGCAGCTCTACCTGGACAAGTTCCCAATAAATGCTTGTTTTCGCATCTATGGCTTTGTAGTTCTATTGCTCTGTTGTCTCTGTTGCCAAAGGTCGCCCTGCATACCAAGGTGTCCCTGCAGTGGGTTGATCTCTATGCCAGGCAGGTCCTGAGCCACTGAACTGTATCCCCAGCCCAGAAGGCAGTGTCTTAACCCATGTATAGGCACCTCTTTCTAATCCGACTTATGGGGGTCCAACCGGTCTTTCTGCTCCCCAGAACCACACTTCCTCCAGCAAGTCCCCAAACTTTTTACCCTGCAGTCTTGCATCTGCCTGCTTGTTCCTTAGTCTCACGGCATCCTGTAGCAAGACCACATGCACTCAGGCTGCGTTGCTCCTCAGCAAATCCTGAACCTCTAGGTTGGTTTAGTTCCCAGTTGATGAGGGGAAGGGAAGACAATGAGTGCACACTGAATGGCAGAGGTTATCTGCATGAGCAGACCTTAGTTAGGCTCCCCAGCCTTCTCCTGGGCCCACTGTGTGCTTCCTTATAAAACTCTGCTCTTGCAAGAATCCCACTAGGAATCTGCCCAAGGCCAGGTCTGATCACTGTGGGCTGCCTGTCAGGCTCCATATCCTCCACCACCTCCAGGTGGCGCCAGCCACCCTGCTGTGTCCTCAGCAGGTCTCCTTCCTCTGTTGGTTCTTGGAGCCCTCATCCTTATGGATTCTCCATCAATAATTTCCCATCCTGTGGGCCCACCCCACTCCTTGAACCCTTTTTACTCCTGCTTGTACCCCAGCTCCTCCTCCTTACACGAGACTCTGTTGCCACTGGCTCTACACCTACTGAGATGTGCTGAGTTTTATGCACTATGACTGAATATGTCCTCTAACAAAATCAACCAGGCCTTCTGTGCTTGTACTCAAGGGATTACTATACCACAGACTAGAAATCTAGGGGAGATTGTGCTGGAAGAATGGGGACTTTTTAAAAAAAATCCTTCTAGTGTCAAGTCTTATATTTGACTGAGTTTATTAAGTGGTCTTATTTCTCACTTTAGGAAAGCTGTGGAGAAACTGGCATTGGATATGGTCCTTCAGAAGGAAGCCTTGATATCAGGGGTGCCAGGCTCCCCTGCATGCGCCATGTGCTTTCAGAGCTTCCTCTGGCTGAGGACGAGGCCCATGCTGGGGCTCCTTCATGGCTGGTTCAGAGTTCTGCGCAGAAGCGGATGGAACTGCCTTGCATCTTTTCCCTGTAAATTTTCTCAAACCTCTCATTCTGGGCCACCGTGAAGTGGTTTTTCCAGTCCCCCACAGTTCCTAGAGGACAGAAGATGAAGCAGGAGTGTCACACTCTGATTGAAGTTGGGTGGCCTGACCTGAACTGTGAGTGCTTGGGTCCTCTCTGTCCACAGCCAGGCACACCAGGTTCCCATGAGGGGACCCCAGCCAGACTGTAGCTCTCTGCTCTGAGCACAAGGTGTGCCTCCCTGCACCAGAGACACAAGGGAGCAGGGACATGGCAGGCCTGACCTGCCCTGTGGTGCAGCCACTTGCTGGACTTACACAGACACAACAGCATGGGCACAGTCGAACCTCAACCACATGGAGGGATCAAGGACATTACAGTGGCCAGAGGCCTTAGACATGACATACTGAGACAGGCCAGATCAGTGTGTGGTGACAGGCAGATAGTGCTGGCCTCTGAGGTAGTGACAGTGGTAGGCACCCAAGGGGAGCTTTCCAGGACAATGAGAAGAGTGCTCCTGTGACTGGGTGATGCACAGGTACACTAGAATTCCTTGAACTGTGTGCTTAATATCTGTATGTTTTTTTAGGTAGATTGCCTTTCAATGAAAATAATCTAGCACCCACTAGAATTAGAAATAACTTTAGGTACAGAAATACTCTGTCCCACTAAAGTCCCTCCTAGAACATTAGGGATCAGAAGCAAAAGCACTGGGAGAGAAGGACCTGTGCACATCAGTGTTTGATGCCCCACTATTTGTAAGGATGAGCCCTTAGAGAGTAGGTGGTTATCTGTCATTGGAGGAGGAGAGCCAGGGGTCGGTGGGGAAGCCTCTTTGGTGGAACACGGTCTTCGAGCCCAGAGGGAGGACCGTGGCGGGGCACACCAGCGTGAACACAGCTGTGCCTGTATTTCTGGGAGCAACCCTGCACTTTAGGCTGGATGTCTTCATGTGTGTATGAGCCGGGCACAGAGTGGAGGTGTCCAGAGCCATGAGGAAGGGGGACAGCGTAAGCAGAATGGGGCTGTGTTATCTATGTGCAATGCGGAAGAGGAATGAAATCACTATGTGCCACAAACACAGTAAAACAAATTTTAGAGAAAAAAAAAGGGAAGGAAAGATGAGGCCACGGCCTGCAGGAGAGGGTGGGCGCCAGTCTGTCACCCCGACTCCCTGCTTTGCTGAAGGAGTGTGGGAACATGAGAGCCTGTGGAGAGCCTCAGGGATGGGAGGTGTCCCTGGGACGTGTGGGCACTACTGCCCTACAGAGCAAGAAGGAAAATGTGTGTGTGTGCATGGCAGGGGGAAAAGACCTCTAGACTAGGTGGCTGCTACTACTTAAATAAAAATGACAAAGTCATCTTCTTAGAAAAAGTAGGAGCTGGGCCAATTGGAATGCCTCTTTTCAGAATCTGAGCTAAGATCTATTAAGAGGTGCAGGAACGAGAGTAGGCAATCGTGATGTACTGCAGGAGTATGCCGGGGTCAGGGCAGGTTGGGAGCAGAAACTGAGGCAGGGAAGCTCCAGTGCCAGTGCCTCGCAGGAATAGGACCCACACTCATGCAGTCAGTGTACCCAGATAGCCTGAGATTCGACAGAGGCCCTACAAACCTTTCCTCATGAAGGAGGAAATGGATTGGTCCATGAGAGATTTGGGAACTGTGGAGCGATTTGTCATAGGATTCTCTTTCATTTTCTCGAAGGACGTCTCCCGGACAATTTTATCCAGCACTGCTTCTCCCAAGTCCTTTCCCATGAACTGCATCACCTTCCGAATTTCCTGCTTTGGGTTCTGGGGTGAGGTGGGCATTGGATTTGAATGGAAAAATTTTAGAAAGACACTGTTAAATCCCTCTTTCCCCCCAAGGTAGGCCGAAACATCTCTGAAGGGTGTTCTCACCCTCTTTATGTCCTCGTAGAAAAGGAAGAGCACCTGGTGTCTGTCCCTCACATCCCACCATCCTGTCACATGGTCAAACCAGGAGCCCCAGGCCACTGCAAGACACAGGGAGCCAGAGGCCATACAGGATGGGACAAAACCTTGCAGTCTGGAAGTTTGGAGTGGAGGAGGGGAAATCTAGGGTCAGGTATGTTCTGGGGTCCTGCATTGGAAGATCTTTTGGATTGGAACAAGCCTTGGTTCTCTTCCCAACTTGCCACTTAAGTGGCTTCATGTTGGTTATGTGCCACCTCTCCTACAGGGAGAGGGATTCTGCATGCAGTGCTAGGATGGAGACTCCTGGGTTGCCTGGAGGTGTTTGCACGAGCTTTGGGTCAGCATGGAGGCTGCCAGAAGCCTCACCTGGTCTCAGCCAGTGGTGGCACTGACTACAGGAGGTGCTAGACATCTGGGGATGTAACATGGTTCCCCAGACTTGGCCTGGGGGTGGGAATGTAGGCAGTGGAATGAAGAGCTTTCTTCTACCTTTCCCATTGACGAAGGTTTCAAAGTACTCTTCCCAGGTGCCTGGTTCGGGGAGCACTTGGTTCATCCTCTGGAAGTGGTAGTAGGATACCATGCAGTCCTTGGCATTCCGAGCCACATAAAGGAACTTGGGGTGAGAGGAAAGCAGCTGAGACTTGTGATAGGTGGGTTCCCAAAGGGCTCCCAGGCTGTCCAGGACTGGCAGCGGCCTGTGGTCTTGTGACCTGCTGACCACCTGCCTCTCTACCAATCTGAGGTTTCCTGGGTGGTCCTGTGATCACATGGTCAGCCAGCCTGGCTCCTGATTGCCCCTCTGTGCAGAAGCAAACCCTTCCTGTAGTGGTGACCTGTCATTCACTAGGAATGAGCATCTGGGTGTGAGTGAACCCCCATACATTCCATCTGGTTTTCCTAGAGAAGCTGGAGACCTTCATGGGTAGGAGTTTGGGCCATGCTTGTGGGCTCTTAGCTGACTGCACATGGGCCAGCCCTGGACACTGAGCAGCTCATGCCTGTGTGTGAGCGAGCATGCTGCGTGCTGGCAGTGGGGGGGTTGAGAGTGTCCAGAGTAAAACAGGGTCCAGGGTGGGGGCCATGCCAGTATCAGCTCCCTTGCTCCTGCCTCCCAGTCTACTCCAGGAGTCTCCACATCTGTAGCCACTGCCTGACTCCCGCCTCCTAGGCTGCTCCAGTTGTATTCACCTTGAGGACTGGTCACCCCCGCCCCCAGGACTAGATACCCTGAATCCCCTCACCCCTGTGTACACTCACCCTGCTTCAATCCCTGGCCCGCAGGTCCCCTTTCTACCTTGCAGTGATTTTCCCAGAAAGAAGTTGGCAGCAGTGCTGTGGACAGGTGCGTCCTCAGTGTCCGAGGGGAGGGCATGGCATTGGCTCTGTCCACACCTGCAGGACAACCTCAAGTGACACGTTGGCATGTGCCTCACTCCGTGGACCTGGGTTCCAGGCTGGGTCCACAGAGTCCCACCCGTGCCTCTCTGCTTCCTCGACTCGGGGTCTCACGGTGGACAGATGGCAGCACTCTCACTTTGGGGGGCTCATGAGGTCTAAGGGGCTAGCGCCCCAGGTTAACTTACTGTCAGCCTTGGGATGCAGGGTGGATCAACCATGGCCCAGCGGCAGCTGGGCAGGGCAGCACTGGCCTGGAGAGCAGACACTATGCACCCCAGGCCCTGTGCCATCCTCCTCCCATCCCCAGAAATGCAGTCATGATTTCTACTCTTTCTAAACCCTCCCTGGACTCCTGCCCTTTGTGAACATGGTGCTAAAGTACAAAAGGCACTGAAGACACAGCCCAGGGCTGTGCTGCAGGAGTCATCAGTGGCATGGAAAGGGAAACAGAGGCAGCAGCGAGGGGAGAAGAGGGAGGAGAGAACCGGAAAAGAGGAGCAGAGACCAAGGAGAGCTGGGAGAGGCAGAGACAGGAGCCTGGCCATGAGAGGAGCTCACCCGAGGGCTGGGGTGGCCGTGCCCACTCGATGAATGGGTGGCGGTGCTGAATGATGGACCGCTGGCACCTCACCTCATCTCCATCCTGTTCAATCATGTCTACGATTTCCTGAATCCACGTTGTCCCTGAGGGCCGGTGCAGGGGAGAAGCAGAGAACTAAGATGGCTGGCCCTGAGGCATCAGTGTGGTGGACGCTGCAGAGACTGCTGTGGCTGCTGCCTCCCTTGGGCTAGGATCCTGCTAGCCAGGACCTAGGGACACCATCGCCATGACCTAGGGACACCATCGCCATGACCTAAGGTTGCCATGGCCAACACTCCACTAGCCAGGACTGAGGGATACCACATGGGAGGGACCTCGGGTTTGTATGTGGAGTGGAGTCACAGAGGTCAAACTTCTGCCCACCTGAAGCACTGGTGCACAGCCCCAGCACCACCCCTCAGGGTACTAGGACAGGGATTCTGACTACCCTGCCTCAGCTACCTGACTTGGGGTAGGTACAGATGAGGAGGTCGTCAGGCTTGGCTTCAAAGTTCTGGATCTGGCTCCAGTTGTCCACAGTGGCAGCCTGCAGGGGGACCCCTGCCACCTCTGCCAAAGGCTTCCTACACTTTGTGTCCTCAGCCATGGTGTCCTGGGGACAGAAGAGAGCACGCTTTCTGGAAAACATGATGTGACTGTTGTGCCCATCTCAGTGCAGTGTGCTGGCTACACATGCTGTGCGGCTTCCCCACTGCCCATCTCCTGGATGCCCCTAACTTCTCAAATGGAAGTGCTGCATCCACAGAACACCAATGATGGGTGCCCAGCCCGCCCTGACTGCCTGTGCTGTCGTGTCTGTAAAACTGATGCCACCCGACTCCCTTAGCTTGGTGTCCACGAGGTTCAGCAGGGTGGCATGGGACTGGGCCGCCCTCTGTGGAGCCGATGCTGCTCCTGGCCTCCCTGAGCTATGTGGCTGCCCTAGGACACTGTGGTGCTGCCACCCTCAGTTGCTATGAGCAACCCTGCCGTAAACGCTGGGCACAGATATCTTTTTGGGCACCTCCTTTTCCTTGTCTTGGCTGTGTGTCCAGACTAGATCAAGTATTTGACTTTTTGAGGAAATGTTGTACTATTTTTCACTATGCTGTATCACCATGTGAGGATTTGTGTTTCTCTAAATCATTGCCACCCTGGTTCCTTCTGGTCTTCTCTGGACTCAGCGTGAGAGGGCAGCAGTGCCTCAGACGACTGTGGCTGTGGGAACACAGAAGCAAGTGGGTCCCACAAGCTCAGGGCTGGAACTAGGAGTGCTTCCTGACCTGGCATGAGGGCTGGGCAGTGAGGGGATGGCACAGCTGCATCTGGTGCTCTGGTGTGTATAGTGGGACAGAAAGGGAAGGCGGGAGGAGGGCAGCTGCCTCTGGGAACTGCAGGGCCTGCAGGGTGATGTGGGCTGGGTCTAGAGCTCTGATCAGAGGCTGCTATGAATTGTGAGTTGCTTGGGGGGCCAGCTCCAGCAGGCATTGTATGCCAAGCAGCATGCGAGCTCCATCAGGCAGTGCCCATCTCTGTTCCTAAAGTTTCAGTTCTGTGATCACTCGAAAGCCATGTGCACTTGGGAGCAGCTGTGTGGTGAATGTGAGCCTCTCATGGGGCTTGGATCCCATCTGATCCTCCCCCTCAATGCCAGGCAGTAGCACCGGCCCTAGCACCCACACAGGGGTTCCTAAGGGGTGGCTGGCACACTGCGGTTGGGGCTGCTCGGCCAGGGTGGTTGGCGGATTATGTGGGTTAGATGCTGTATCAGGACCCTGCCCATCCTGGGTGCCTAGTGCTGGATGGTCTTCAGTCATAGGATACCAGTGTCACACATTCGGGCCTCAGGACCCTGCTGCCCACTGTGCTGGAGTCTATGCCAGGCATGCTAGCATGGGCCAAAGCTCGGGTGGCTGGTGCAGCAGGGCTCCCAGTCCTTCTCACTATCCCAGGGCAGGGGCCACATCAGCTCCTGTCCCTGTCCATGGAATGTGGGGACACAGACACACAGCTGCCCCTGAGCAGCTGTCCAGAAGCTTTGAGTCTTGTCCAGGTATGTCAGCTATGGACTCCTTGATGAAGCCATCCCTGTCTGTGGCTCCATGGGCAGAAACAATGGTTCCCCCTGTGGAATCCTACTGCAGCTCATGAGTACCCTTCCTATGTTTTACGTCACTGTCCAGTAATTGTACAACCTGGCCCTGGAACAGGGGCCTGGATGGGTCCTGTTTACAGGTCCAGTGTAGGCTGTGGTCAGAGGCTGGCACCATGTGGGTGGCCCTCAGCAGCCAAATGGACAGTCATATCCGGAAAGTTCCAGCTGGCCCTGAGAGGAAGGGGAGAGGGCTTGGAGGAAACATTAGGGTGGAAAGAGGTGGGGTGGTGAGGGCTTTGGAGGTTTTTGCCTGACTGCAGATCCAGCAGTCAAGCTGTTGTCCATAGCATTTGCAAGTTACCCTGCCAGTTCCTTAGGCTTCTTCCTGATGGGGTTAATCTACCTGCTCATAACACTTACCTGTATGATTGGAGCCCTACACACACACAAGTTCAGCACAGCAGTCCTCTTGCACCATCCCGCCTTCTGGGAGTCAGCAGCCAGAAGCCCAACCAAAGGCTAACGCGCAGAGTCTGCTCCTGGTCACGGGCACCTCAAGGTCCCAAGCTGCAGCTGCCAGCGTAGTCCCCAGGAGCCACTCTGGGAGTGCTTGGGCTCAGAGACACCACCAAGATCTGCCACCAGGACGCATGACCACCCTGCACTGTGATTCGAAGCTCTGGGCTCCTGCAAATGCAGATGCAGGAGAAAACACCTAGGAGCCTTCCCTCTGTGAGCCCTGTCACCCGTGTTAAGCAGAAAGTCTAAGATGGGCAGGGCTTGGGTGTAGCTGCACCTATGGCCCCAAGAAAGCTCTGCCCCAAAGCCTTGCCTGGAGACAGGCGGCCCTCCCTGAGCACACAGCCTGTCAATCATTTAAACACAAACATGAGGTTGAGTGAGTGGCCAGAGGAGCAGAGTCCACAGGTTACCAGTTGCTGCATCCCTCAGTCAGCTCCGTGGGACTCCTCCTCCACGCTGGACCCTAGCTAAAAGGAGCCCGAATCTGTGTTGGGTTGGGGATGTTGGTCCCTCTCTTCTGGATCATGTATTTACCGAGTAAATCTTTCCTTGCCCCACAACTTGTCCTCAAAATGGGTTCTGATCAAGCAGGGAGTGGTGTACTTGGGTTTGGGAAGAGGGAAGTAGGAAGTTAGCCCTGGGCCAGATGTGCCCAGCGCTGGGCAACTTTTGCCTTGGGTCACTCTGCATGGATGAAGGGAGGTAGGGGACCTGTGTCCAGTGGTGCCTAGGACCAGAGGCCAGGGTGATAACAAACCCTTTCTTAGCCCTAAGTGCTTACCAGAGCCAGCACTTTCAGCCCCACACAGTGAGGACAGAGGGGAAGAGCTGTCCACAAGTGGTTCAGCCTGAGATGCGCTTCCTGGAGGCAGAGTCCTGGGTCCTGTTCCTTGGAGGGTCAGACTGACCTGGTGCCAAGCAACCCTGTGCTGCTGCCCTTCTGCCCAAGGCCAGCCCGGCTCAGACCGGGTGATTTCTGGACTTCAAGTGCCCTGCTGAAGCAGCCTTGAGTCCTGTGGCCCCAGAGGCTCCACCCTGCTTCTCTTTCCAAGGGGCATGTTTCTTCGTCTTCCTGCAGTCTTGCTGAGCATTTTCTCTTCCCAATTCACTGAGGCAGCACTGATACTCAGCCCCAGTGGACTCCCAAGTCCACACACTCTTTCTCTGGACGTCTTCACCCATCACCCGTCTGCTCACTGTCACCCATCACCGGTGTCTGCAAAGCCAGTGCCACCTGCTCTGTGCCCACATGCCCTCATCATGGTCCTCAGCACCCTGTGGGCTGCATCTTCCACACTGAAGCACAGGCTCAGACCCCCCTCCCACCTAATGACATCATTTATTAACGTAACATACACACGTGCTACAGTTGATAGATTTCACGTGCATGATGGCAACTGTGAACAAGCTCAGCCCTCTGTACCTGCAGCTCCTGACTCTGCATGCAGCCTCATGCTCCAGCTTGTGCATGGCTGATTTCTTCTCTTCCCTCCTAGCATACAACTTAAACTCAGTTTGGACCAGTACTCTCGGTGTTTCTGGCCCATTGTGGATGCATCCTTTGACACCATCCCCAGAGGCTCCAGGCCAGCTGAATGGAACTGGTTGCCCTGCTCCAGGGCCCTCACGCTCTTGGTGACCAGAGGCTTGGATTCTGCAACACCCTGCTTGGGGCTTCTCCTTGGGCTCAGCTGAAGGGGCTTTGCTGCCTCTGTCTGTTCCTATCAGTTCTGTGAGGCTGAGCTCACACCTTGTACTCAGCCTCTTCATGCTTTGTGCCACCAGCTCCACAGCACAGGATGCTCTGTGTGGCACAGCATTAGGTATCAGTGGTCCACTGTGCCTTGCATATGCCTGCTGGGAACATATCATGTGAACTAAGTGGACAGGACAATAAACTGAGTCTTACGGTGCATAGTAGTCCAAAGAGCCTCTGTGCATTGAATTTGCCTTTCTCATATAGCAATCCTCACTTTTTACCTTAATGCTTAGTACAAGTACCTTCCCAGGGCCTCAGTAGTCCTAGCTGCATGATGGCACCTGCTCAGGGTGAGTGTTTTAATTGCAGACTGTGCGGGCTCTGTGACCCAATCTCAGCAAATGGTTCTTTGTTTGATGGGATTGATGCATTCATTAAATGGATAAAATCAAAGCCCGAAATAAAACCTTGAAATAAAACCCATGCATCTGGGCCTCCTGAGCTGGTCAATGGTGCGAATGTGGGGGACACTGGCCCCGAGGGGGTGCCTGCTGCGCTTCTGGGCTTGCTTCATCCTGGGCACTCTGGTCTGGGCCTGGTGGATGCTCAGAGCATATCCTCCTGTATTTCTCTTTGTTTCTGATTCATCTCCCCCTTGGAAATTTCCCAGCCCTTTCTGAGAGCCTGCCCATGCTGGAGCTGGGGAAGAATCTAGGCAGTTTCTGTCCCCCAAGAAGGCAGAGGCTACCACAGCTCCCTGAGCATTTTGCCAGGCTCTGTTCTGGGTACAGGGAGCACACTCTGGGCCCTGGGGGGCACCAGACCTGAGCATACAGTTCTGATGGTGATGCTTCCTTCTCTGCTGCCCAGGTCACCTGGGTCTCTTGAGTGCAAGAGCAGCAGTTCTGTGGGCCTGGGCAGTACTGGGTCTCCTTGCCTCTCTGTCCCCACCAGCTCAGTGCAGCCCTGGGCTGTGCTTGCTGAGCCATGTGTCTTTTTGTTTCTTCTGTTTTTGACCCATCACAGCTCACACAACTCCTTGTCTCCTGGGCCATTTTCTCCTTAGCTGTGCCCTTGGTCTTTAGTTCTCCCTTCTTCCTTGCTAAATTCCCACCGGGGACCAGAGCAAGGCATTCAATCTCTCTCTCACAGAGAGAGATTACTGAGTTTACCTTTGATAGCGCTGGCCACACCTGGGTGCAGAGTCAGGGCGGGTCTCTGTTCTCAAGGTCATGACACAGGTGGGACTTAGTCACCAGGAGGGTGACATGACCAAGTGCCAGGTCTCTCGAGGCACCCACATGCCTTCTGCAGAGCTGGACAATCCTGCATTTCAGACATTTGCCTCAGAAGTTGGGGTGCTGGTTCAGGAGGCATAGGCACTTCACAGGGCCTGGGGACTCCACCCTCCATCCCCTCTGTCCACAACCCTGAAACAGGAGCTGTATCCTCTCCATGTCTCGAGCTGGGAGAGGTGGGTTTGACTTCTGAGCTGTTAGCACAAAGCAACCTTGGCCTCTACCTCTGGGTGAGGAGAGCAGCTGGTGTACAAGCATGGAGAAGAGGAGAGGCCTCAGATCTGGCCGAAAGTGAGGAGGGGGACGGAAGGGGAGGTGGAGAAGATCAAGAAGAGGACAATGGAAAGGAGGAGGAGAGAAGGAGCAGGGGATGGGGAAGTAGAAATAACAAGAGAGGAGCCTTGCTGTGTGCAATCATTCATACCCAGGATGCTCCTGGGCTGCATGTCCTGTAAAGCTGTGCTAATAAAATAAAAACAGTTAAAGTTCTTAGGCTGAGGCCAAGGGAACAGATGTTGGGCAGGTAAGGAACAAGTAAGGCATATGGGAGGATATGGGTGCTCATAGAAGAGAGGAGAGGAACAGCAGCCCCAGATGGCTGGGCTCAGCTGGTCCTCAACTCTGTTGCTCAGGGCATCAGGGAGGGACTGTGAGACCTAGCAGCTTGGGGTCACCTGTGACCCCCCAGGTCGAGCAGTGTGGTGGTGGCATGGTCCCTTGATAATCCCAGGGCTGTGTACTTTTGGGGAGGGGCCTCTCCTGCAGGGTGATAGCAGAAGGGGAGTTGATTTTTGAAAGGAACAGCAGCAGATAAGGGCCAGGGAGGAGGAAGACAAACAGCACAGCGATCATGACCAGAGGAATGGATAAGCACTAGCAGGGGATGTTTGCCACCACACAGCAGGAGGGGTGCATGATGGGCGTCTGCACAGGAGAGGCACCCAGGCTCTGCTCCTGAGATGATCTCTTCTGATGGGTCAGGGGCAAGGAGACCAGTGCTGCAGCAGGGGCAGTGTCTCCCAGCCTGGGCCCTGGAAATCCTGTCGGGAGTTCTCAAGGACATGGTGACCTTCCTAACTGTTAGGCAGGGTCTGCTGTTTCATGCTGTCCTCTCAGGGCATGGAGTGGGGTTTCCAGAATGAGTACACATGGGCTGTTGCCTCTTTCCATGACAAGCAGAGTGACAGAGTGAGTAGCGTGCCTGCCTGTGTTTTAAGAAATTCTGTTTCTGAGTTCAGTGAGCTCAAGCCAGCCAGGACTACAGGCAATACCCAGTCTCAAACAAATAATTCTCAGTTTTAATTTCTAACGCAGAGACATGGAGGACTGTGGGCCACATCAACAAACTCTACTATCCCCGAGCACCAAGCAAGGAAGCACTGGATTCTGTGGGTTGCTGACAGACTCTGTGACACACACCAGAGACAAAGCTGAAGCCTGAAAGCTCCCATCCCACCATGGTTTCTAGTCCTGAATGTGCCCAGGATCCCAGGTCCCCCTAGCTGCCCTGTCTCTGCCCCAGGTTCTGTGTGCCTCACCTGGCCCAGGTCCCAGCAGGATCTGTGCCCTGGGTGGGGACATCCTCTTCCCAAACCCCTCTGCTCTGGAAGAGAATGTGGGGCTGTTTCTTGGGTTCTGGTGGTTCCCACTTGTGTGGAGTGTGTTCTGGGGTAGGAGAGGACACACAGCAAGGGCAGAGCAGGCAGATTGGCCCCCACGCTGCCTCTGCTCTCCCAGGCCTGACACTGTTGTTCCCTGAGTGGGCCTAGACATTGCTGAGTGCTGGTTCTTCATGGGAGACTGGGGTGTCTCTGACCTCACTGGGATTTGGAGCAGGAGCTGTGCTGCAGAGCTCTGTCTGATGTCACCATCCTCACACTATGCCCCTCTCACCCCAGGATCCTTCTCTCTCTGGACCTGGGTAGCATACTCACAGCCCTGTCCTCCATTTGGAGGCTTTGAGAGCACAAGTCCAAGAGGGGCAGTGCCCTGGACAGCTCTCAGGGACAGCCTGGCAGGGATTGGACACTTGTGCCTGCTGCCAGGTGCCTCCCAGCTACCAAGACCCACCTAACCCAGGGCTTACCGTGTGCATGGCTGCTGAGCCCTGTCCTGCTCAGCTTTGCCTGGTGATGCTCTCCTGGCTATGCCTGTGAAGTCCTCCTGCCTTGTCACCTGGGACGGCACTGGAGTGCAGAGGGCCACACTGAGGCACATAACATCCTGGGAAATTCCACTGCATTTCTTTTGGCCTGCCTGGTCCATTGTACTCTGAGGTCCTGTCCTTCTCACTGTTGACTCCAGGGTCAGGGATGCTCTGGTGCCTCACAGGGTGACGGTGCTACAAACTCAGGGTTTTCTCCCTGCTGCTGAGTCAGCTCGACTCTCCGGCTGTGCTCAAGCATAGGCCTGAGCAGAGCAGTGCAGTCCAGAGGCTCATAGGAATGGCCAGCAAGGAGCACTGTTCACAGCCACTCATGGCCCATCTCCACTCTCAGGTTGGCTGCAGCCCTGCTCTGGGCAGCACCTCGGGACTGAGCCCTGCCCACGTGTCCAACACGGCCACGACCATCATGGTGGTGTGCACCACTTCCCTGTCCTGCATATTGCTTCCTGGGGGCGATTCCAGCACCAGGAGCTTGGGCTCTGGGGACCCCAGCAGCTACAGAAGAGGCAGGCCCCTTGTGGTACATGGTGGTACATAGGCTCCTGGCTAGCAGGGCTCTTCAGCAGGAGGGGTGAGAAGGCAGGAGGTTCTTAGAAGTTCGCACTTCCTGGACTTGCCCAGGACCCTCTGCTTGCACAGTAGGTCGCTGCAGAGTGTCCCTCCACACACAGGACCTTGCATGAGCCCCGCCTGGGCATTTCAGGAGCCGAGCCATCTGGCACCCTCCTCAGACAGTGAGGAGAAACTTTGGTGCTATGTTCTCTGGCCTAATCCTGCTCCATGCCCAGGCTGGGTCTCCTCACTTTCTCCCCAGTGGGACACAGATGTCAGGTTAATGAAGGCCACCCTGGGCAGGTGGAGATTTCAGGAAAGCACTAAAACCCAGATGTCTGCTTGGCAGGATGCCAGGGGCTTGGTGTGGATATCTTCCATGGGTATGTGTTCACAGACCTGCATGTGGCTGGTGCTGTGACCCCGAGAAAGTGTGTGGCCTGGGTCCTCACAGATGACACAGGCAGAGAGACCTGGGAGCAGAAGCTTTCCCAGGGGCTCAAGCCTATTTTCAAAAACTGCAGAGCCTCCTTGCTTTGTTTCTGGGCAGGATGGCAGAGGCCACGGTTAATCAGCAGGGTACAGGTTCAGGAGGGAGCAGGTATGGGCCCCCAAAGAACAGTGCGGCTTCCGGGTGGCCCCGCCATGAGTTGACTCTTGGTGTGGGGCACTAGAAGACTTTACCACTTAATGTGCTGGTCCAGCTGGCACCCCATAGCCACCCCGTGGCCGGGTTGATTGCTGTGTGCTCCGTGACCTGCATCTTAGGATGAACAGAACAGGCCGAAGGCTGTGTTTGGGATGGGGAGATAATCATCTGTGTGCCTTAGTGTTGCACAAGTCCCCCTCCCCGCAGTGCGCCTTTCCTGACATTTCTTTAAAGCAAAGCTCTGTTTTTTCCAAAATTTGTTAAATGACAGCAGACAGTAACTTAACATAGCTTTCACTAGGAGGCCAAGGAAAGGACCAATGGATGGCACATGCTGCTGACCAGTTTGACATGCTGACAAGTTTGCTGTGGGTCCTGTTGTGAAACAAGGTGTAAAAAAGTCTGATGTTGCCTGAATTCCATGAAACAGGAGACAGGCCAAGACCACGCCCGTTGCAGTGTCAGCCTCTGGGTGTCTGTTCCTGGATGTCTGTCCCTGAGAATCTGTCCCTGGGTGTCTGTCTGTGGGTGCCACTGGCCTCACCTCTCACCATTGGTCTTTTGTTACTGGCAGCCAGCACCTGTCCTTTGGCTGTGCTGCCTGAACCTCTCTCTGCCCTGTCCTGACTCAGCCTGCCTTAGTGTGCCGTGCTAGCACTCAGTAAGCATGCTTTGCCACTCCGCTTTGTCTGTGGACCCCCTTTCGGATCTTCTCGGGGGTCCCAGGAGCTGATGTCCAGAACAGCACAGATGGTCCCTGATCAGTGCTAAGGCTGAGGAATGTTCAACAGCCTGAGTGTGGGTCCTGCCCCTTCCTGTGTGGATCGAGGAGGCCCTTACCTGGTGAGGGTCATGGACCTGAGACCTCCTGGCCTCGGGACCAAGCTTTATGCCTGTTCAGGGCCTCTGTGCTGCTGAGGTCAGCTGAGTGTGTCCAGGGTGAAGTTCCACTGTCCTGCACCTCTCTTACAATGCTGCCCTATATCTGAGCTCTGGGTGAAAATTACTCCTTTCTCTTTCCCTGAGGTTCACCTTGGAGAGACCAGAGAATTCTGGAGGAGCAGTGGAGCTGATCTTTGTTTATTTTGCCTGAGTTGGGCAGGCACAGGGTCCACAGGGCTGACCTCTAACTCAGCCAGGAACGTCTCCCTAAGGCTGGTCATGTGGGGAGGAACATGGCACAGAGGCTTAGCACCTAGGGAAGACGGCTCAGGATGGGGGGAGGGGTCTGTCCAGAGTCTTCCGGACTACAGGCTCAAGTGAGTGGAATCTAGAGGCCCAGGGCTGGCCTGCCCTGATGTAGGCCCTCAGACTTCTGTGCGGAATGTCAGGGTGCTCCCTGCCATCTTCTTCCTGTAGTCCTTATCAAAGGCTTCACTCTGGGCCACAGTGAAGTGGTTCTTCCAGTCCCCGGGCATCCCTGAAGCAAGACAAGACTCAGTGTGCTGCAGAGCCCCATGAGGGGTGGGCGTGCACCCTGGGAACTAGCAGGGATGGAGGATGACTAGGAGGAGCAGGGCCAAAGGGAGGAAACAGGAGGGCCTCTGAAAAGTGCACAGAAGTGATGTCAACAAGAATCAGCTGAAGGGTGTGGAGTGCCCCCAGGACCCCGAGGATGCTTGGCGCTCAGGATGCCAAGGCCTTACCTTTCCTCATGAAAGGGGAGATGGAGTGGTCCATGATGCTGGAGGGCAGAGTGGTGTAGTTGGCCATTGGGTTGTGCTTCATCACCTGGAAGGAAGTGTGGTAGACGATCTTGTCCAGGACTTCCTCGGTGACCTCTTTCTCCAGGAACTTCAGGATCTTCCGGATTTCCCTCTTTGGGTCCTGTGTGTGGAACAGTTACAGGAAACAAGAATTTGGGTCTCCCTTCAGGGAGGATGTTCATTTTGGGGATGGACAAGCTAAGGGACAATTCAAGCATGGTCAGCAAACATTTCCCAAGAGGTCCCACTGTGAGGCACTGCGCTGCCTGGATACCATAGAAGCTGAAGACCAGGGCTGTTCCTGCCACCAGAGGAGCCCTGTGGGTCCCTGCTGAGCCAGTCCCTGCTTCCTGCCACCAGAGAGAGCTGCGGATCTGGGAAAGGGCCTCTGGGAGGCCAGGGAAAGTAAGGCAGTATTGGTCAGCGGGACAAACTCATATCTGCACGGTCAGAAGTGGCAAAAAATTGTCTCTGATCCTCACAGAAGACCAATAGGAGAATGACTGGAAATAACAGTCTTTGCTTTTTTCTGATAAGAGACACAGAAAGGCAAGGTGAGAAGCTTTCCATTCCATTTCAGGGTCCCTCAGTGTTGGCTCAGGAGGTACCTTTGTAATCTGGAGCAACACAGAGATCTGCTGCATGGGATCTTGGAGGATAGATCTGGGGTGCCATTCTCCCAGGGCCAGGAGGAGGGATCCACTCTGGGTACCTGAGGGTGGGGACCGGTGTTTTTTCGGCCTAAGCTCCATGAGTTAGGGTGCTCTGGACGTGGATGAGGGGCATGGACCCTGAGTGTCTCCAGCACAGCTTGAGCAGTAGGATTGCAGGGCTCTGTGAGGTAACCTCCAGAGAGAGACTCCATGCCATCTCTCAGGCAGAGAGACAAGGCTCCTGGTATCCCACAGGTTGGCCTGCCAATGTGGGCTGGGATTTCTCTGGGGAAGGAGGATGCCTGGGAAGTGTGGAAGGCTGGAGGAGGGACAGAGTTCCTGGGGGCAACACTGAGCTGGAAAGAGGGAGGGAGCGTTCGGCTCGGGGCAGGCTGCAGTGGGGGCTTGGTTGGGATTTCACCCTGGATGGGGAGCTTCTGAGGGAGCTGCACAGTCTCACCTCCTTCATGTCCTCGTAGAAGAGGTAGAGGATGCGGTGCTTGTCCTTCTGGTCCCACCACCCCTGCACATGGTCGTACCAGGAGCCCCACAGCACTGTGGGAGACAGGTGGTGTCAGGGCAGCTAGAAACTGGCAGCAGGAGCACAGCTGTCTCAGATAGAGAGGGTGTCAGTAAGAGATCATAGCAGGGCTCTCACTGGAGAAACCCCAGCTGGTTTTTTCTCCCCCAGTATTTAGAATGCTGATCCTAAGATTCTAGATTCCTTGGATGTGTCTGTCCTGAACCTCCTCCTTCCTGAGAGACTGCCTCTCGGCTCAGGCAGAATCATCGTTTTCCAAGGCTGCTCAGTGCATAGATCCCTGGCAGGAAGTGGGTGTTTGCTGGCCGGGTGATTTGGGAAAGTCTCACTGTAGACACCTGCAGCGCCCAGGCCTGTGGCCAGGGCTGGGGTGGAAGTGTAGGGAAAGGTGCTCCCAGCAGTGACCCAACATGCCCACGGCTGCCAGCTGACTTTCACACTGTCACTGGGCTGCCCTGACTCTGCATATGGTTGGGGTTGGTGTGTTAGGGGAAAGAGGAGTGCAGGGATAGAGACTAGTGTCACCTCTGGTTTCACTGGGGGCTTGTGATCATGACTCTGGTTGAAGTGGAGTGGTCCTCTCCTGTCTCCGGCTTCTGGGGCTCCCCCAGAAGCCCTATCAGCCCTCGTTTGTCCCTTAAACTCTGCCCATGCAGTTGTCCCAGATGACAGCAGTGTGTCACCTGCAGGACAGTGGGGTCTCGGTGGGCCCAGTCATAAAGTGGACACGTTCTCTCCTGATGTCAGGAGATGATGAGAAATACAGGCCTCGCTTCCTTTCACTTGCCTTTTCCAGCCTTGAAGGCTTCAATGTACTCCTCCCAAGTGCCAGGGTCAGGCACCATCTTGTTCATCCTGGAGAAATGGTAGTAGGACACCAGGCAGTCCTTGGCATTTCTAGCCACATAGATGATCTGTAGCCAGCCAGCAAAGACAGAAACAAACAGAGACATCATGGGTCAGGGTTTTCAGGGAGCCTTTTGTAGAGTTTAGACTAGTCTACTTGCTGCATGACAGAATATGGGGGTGCTTTTAGCCCCTGGGGGCCCAGGGACAGCTCTGGGTCACAGCTGTGTGCTCAGCATGATCACTGCTTTCTGTCCTGAAAGTGTCCTGGTTTGCATGAACACAGCTCTTGCCCCAGGTGTGCTCAACAAAACACCGTGTACCAGGGTCTCAGAGCAACAGCATCTGCATCCTGTAGTTAATTCCTGAGGCTGGCAGGATGCGACCAAGGTTTCCATGAGTGTGGCCTGTGGTGAGGGCTGCTTCCTGTACATGGATGGTGGATCTCACTCAGGAGCTTGTTCTGAACTGCTCTGTGGCCCCTACTTCCTGTACTGTACCTGGTGGCCTGTTCTTGCTTCTCCTGAAGTTCTCTAGCCAAGCTTTATTGTCTCTCACACTTTCTATGCAGACTATCTCCTCATGAGAACTTTTAATTTTACTTATGAAATCATCTTTTTCCTCTACAAGAGAACTTATCTTGGCTTCTAATTCTTGTACCATCATGTTTCTTTGACTAGACCAAGTAAGTACAGTTCATTCTTTTCTTGAAGGCTCTTCACGGTATTTTTAAGTTGTGACACTAACTCTTGTTGATGTAGCAACTTTTCATTTTCTCCCTGGAGAAGATTCACAGTTTCTAGAAGAGCATCCTTTTCATTATATGCAGTCCTTAGCCTCTGCTGAAGTTCACGCACATCAGATGCTTGCTGTTGCTTCATTGATTCAAACTCTTGACTTATTTTTCCAGCAGATTCTCCTGTCTGTAAAATTTTCGTAATTTCTCGCAAACTCTCATAATTTAATATTGCTTCTTGCTTTTCTTGTTGAAGGTTTTCACACTGTTCCTTAAGACCCTGTATTTCAAACATTAATGCTAATTTTTCTTTTTCGGAACCTGACAAAAATGTCTCATTTAGTTCTGATACTTCTTTTTGATGTTTTTCCTTGAGATTTTGTACTTCCTTTTTATGTTGTTCTATAGCACAACGAAACTGTTTATTTAAATCTTCCAGCTCATATTTTAATTTTTCTATTACACAGCCCTGCTCTTCTTTAGCTAGTAACAGTTCATTAATTTTAAATTCCAAGTCTTCTTGTTCATGAAAAAACTCATCCTTTATATGCTGTGCATCCATTTCAAGTTTTAATTTAAGATTATTCATGTAAGTTACCTCATCTTTTAAAATACTATGTTGAGACTCCAGTTCTTTTAAGGAATCCTGTAAGTATTTGGTTTTTTCATTTACTATCTGTTCCACAAAAGTATCTTTCTGTAAGAGGACAGGACCCACAGGAAGGTCTGGGTTTGCATCTGACATGGCTTTCCTTAGGGTTTTCTTGCCCCAGGCCTGCTCAACAAAACACCGTGTACCAGGGTCTCAGAGCAACAGCATCTGCATCCTGTAGTTAATTCCTGAGGCTGGCAGGATGAGACCAAAGTTTCCGCGAGGGTGGCCTGTGGTGAGGGCTGCTTTCTGTACATGAGTGGCGGATCTCACTCAGGAACCTGCTCTGAATTGCTCAACCTCCACAGCCCCTACCTCCTGCTGTGTGGAGTCAGTGTATGGGGGCACCACATTCAGACCCTGGGTCATGGGATAATTCAGCCTGAGAAACAGCCAGTCCCAGATCTGCTGAGCAAGGAGTCCTGGGCTAAGAGGAGCCCAAGGGGCAATAAGTTCCCCTGTGTCATACCAGGAGCTGACCTCAGCTTTCCGGGGATCACGCTGCTACTGTGCATTGGCTGACGGGGTTTCAGCCCAGGCAGTGCTGAGTTCCTGTGGGACTGTAGGGGTGGGGTTTTTTCCCTGAGAAGTCTGTGGAGGACTGATGAAGAACAGTGGACTTAGCCTCATTCCTGCTGCCACTTCCCTGGGGATCCTGAGGGAAGGGTGCATGCTCACTGCAAAGCTGCAGTCTTAGGTCCAGGTTGCTGTTGTTGGCCCCCGGGTAAGGTGTGGTCTCCAGGTGGGTTTCTGGTGGGCACAGTGGATCTCCAGAAGGCAGGACATAGAGGGAGATCCCTGGGTCACCAGGTAAGGGCCCCGAGGGACTGCAAGACCTGGCTGTGCCTTCCCTCTCCCTGCCATGAGAGGCCAAATGAAGGCGACTTCAGAATCCTGAGCCCACAGGAGCCTATCTGACTTCAGGTGCCCAGGTCAGGGCTTTGCTGGCTGCTTTGGTTTTCTCCTGTGTCTCATGCATCTCCGGGGTGTTTCCTCTCAGTGAGTAGCCACATCTCCTGCTTCCCGAGGAGCATGCCCACCGCGCACCACTCAGCTCAGCATGGTTCTGTGTCTCTGCCCCTCCTCGAGCTGGATTTCCATCCCAAGTTAGAGAAAGCAGCTAGCAGCCCAGGAAGCATGCAGCAATGGCTGTGTCATCATTCCATGTAAGTGTGTTGTGTGTGACATTTCCTAATGCTTATTAGCGCCTTGCTTTCAAGGTCTGGGTCACTGGAAATAGAAGCCTGGGAACCGATCAACACAGACACGGGTACACTGTGGTGTGGACTGTGCTGGCTGGAAGTTTCCTTGGAGTCTGTTGATCTGTGTCAGCCTCCACCCTCTGCTCTGACAAGGACAATGAATTTCGTGGCTTAGCACAATGCAGGTCTGCCGTCTTGCATTTCCGGAGGCTGCTTCAGCTGGGTCTTCTTGGAGGCCCTGGAGGATGCTTATTTCTTTCTTTTTCTTTTTTTTTTTTTTTTTTTTTTTGTCTTTTTCACTTTTCATCGGTACCAGGGATCGAACTCACGACTGCCTGCTTGCAAAGCAGGGGCTTATGCCACTGAGCTAAATCCCCAGCCCTTGAGGATGCTTATTTCTACGTAACCTTGGGCCTCTGAAGTCTCTTGCGATCTCCAGCTCCTGATCCACCCTTTGATCATTGCTCTAAGCTCACGCCAACTCCTCCCCTCAGTGGCGATCCTGCATTTGCCTCATTCCTTCTGGTGAAGACCCTTAGGGTGGCTACAGCCCGGGCAACCTGGGACAATTGTCCATCCTGAGGCCCTCACTGTGGTCACTCTCTGCAGGCTGTGGCTTGGGAGTGAGATTTAGGGCTTGGTTGATCAGCAAATGGACACGTCTCAGCACCAGGTTGGGCACCGTGAGCCAGCAAAACATGGAGAATCAGCTCAGCTGTCTCATGTGACTTCCTACTCGCAGAACCTACAAGCTCAGTGGACAAAGGCAGGCGCTGCCACTGGGGTTCACATTCCCCAGAGGATTCGATTTACCACCAGAAGGTATCAGGGTGAAGGTCTGACATGGGGCTCTGTGCTCTTTCTTCTCTGGTCTCAGGCCCTCTTCACTTTGCCCCATATCCCCTCACGGGTGCCCCACATAAGCCTCCCTGTCCTCCTGGTCCTGCTTCTTTGGGGACCCAAATTAAGACACCAATCTTGCCTAGGAAACCCCTGTTTACCAGTCAGCTTTGTTTAACTGGGACAAATTACACAACACCCACAGCTGCCAAGAGGAGGGGTTTATTTGGCGCATGGATTTAGGGATTCCATTCATGGTTGGTTGGCTCCAAGGCTGGGGCATCCTAGTAGACAGAGGGATGCACTAGGACAGAGCTGCTAACTTCCTGGCAGCCGGAGAGCAGAGTGGGGAAGAGCACAGAGAGGAAGAGGCAGGGACCATGCACGCCCCAGCATCACAGATCTAGGACCCATCCAGGCACCCTGAGCTGGGCTTCTCTAGTCCCTGGTTTCTCCCCAGCCAGTCAGATGAATCCTGGCCATTGCACTTGCTTCCTGTCATGCAACAGCCATTCTGAAGGTGGTGTAGTTGGCAGATGATCAGAATAATTTTCCTGGCCTCCCATTGTGTTCCTAGGCTCATGTTCCAAAGGGAGAGGAACAGGTGTGTGGGCTCACAGGTGACATCGCCAGGTACCCTGGGTACCACTGCTGGTTTCCTCCTCATCCTTGCCTGATGCGACTCAGGTGGGGACCCTCTCTGGCCTGCTGCGGATGTGGGTCTTGGAGATCTGGGCCCCCTTACCTTGCAGTTTTCCTTCCAGAAGGAGGGTGGCAGCAGCTGTACAGGCAAGTGCGTCTTCAGCGTCCTGGGTGATGGCATTGCATTGGCCAGGTCTAGACCTGGGAGGAAGGTTACTCAGAGACGTGTACCCCACAGCAGCAGCCTCCAACAAGGACTTGAGTCATTTCAGGGCCTACACATGACCCTTCCAAAACAGTCATAGGGGCTGGAGGTTCAGCTCAGTGGCAGAAGTGCCTGCAAGCTTGAGATCATGAGTTCAATCCTCCACCCCCTTCCCCCAACAACAACAACAACAACAACAACAAAACACAGCGTCAGTGCAGTGTGCTGACCTAGGATCTGTGTGCAGTGCGGGGTGGCAGTGTGGTGCCCGTGTGGTGCCCTGGGACCCCTGTGCATTGTGGGCTGCCGGGGTGAGCACAGTCACCAGCGCTTCACCTCTGTGAGCATGAATGGCTCCACCTCACCATGTCGGGATTCTGAAGTCCTTAATTTCATCACAGGTCACAGGGAGGGACTGTAATGACTTTACCCCCAGGGTCTCAGAAAACAGAGGCCTGGAAAATGCTCCTATCCCCTAAGGTACATTCAGGCCTCTCTCAAGCACCAGGGTCATGTATGGTGTCTGTCCCGTGCCATTGCATCCTGTGTTTCAGGAACAGCACTTGGGTGCCTTTGGGCTGCTCATCTGGGCCCAGGCTGCTGTCATCACCTCCCACCCGTCCAAGAGAGGCTTACTGAAGCCTGCCAAGCTTCTTCTGTCACTCACCTGACTTGAGGGGTGGGGGCAACGTCCACTCAATGAATGGGTGCCGGTCGTAGGTGTTGGCCCGCTGGCACTTCAGTTCATCCCCATCGTGCTGGATCATGTCCACAATCTCCTGAGTCCAGGTCGTGCCTAGAAGGGCCGGGACAGACTTGCTCCTCATGCTCACTTACCCATGGCTCATTTACATGTGCAGGGCTGGACAGGAAGTCACACCCTCCTGGTGGCTCCCAGGTTGGGTGGACGGGCACCTGTACATGAGTACAGTCCCTTTGCTGGCAGTAGGTGCAAAAGTGCTCTGCTTATAGCCGAAAACAGCTGTGCTCTGCTTATAGCTGAGATTCTGCCCCTGTCAGATGTGTCTTGACTGACTATGGGTTAGACAGTCTGGCTGTTGTTCTCTCCAGGCCCAGCCATACTGGAACCCACGTTACTCATGTGAGGGGTTGTACTGGGCATCACTGCTGCCACAGCAAGGTGCCCTGGTGCAGGGCCTCACACCCACCTGCCTTTGCATAGGTTGCGATGAGGAGATCATCAGGCTTGGCCTGGAAGCTCCAGATTTGGTCCCACTTGTCACTGATCAGCTTGGTCATGAGGATGCCATTCACCTCCTTGGTTTCCGGCTGTAGGTATTTTCCCTCTAGTTGGAGGTCTTCCATTTTCTCCAAGGACATCGTGGTGGTTCTGGTGGATTCTTAGAGAGAGGGGAAGTGGTATCTTTGGGAGAGCAGAAGTCACTCCCTCAGGTGGCGACTCCTTGAGGGGCCTGAGAAACACACAGGACCATTCTGGTTCTAATGCTGATTCCTGGGAGAAGTGAGGCTGGGATTTAAACCCTCCACTGGCCTTTTTTGAGGATAGAGGTGCCAAGCACCTGTCCCTGAGGACTAGCCCTGAGTCTGTGTCTGTCAAGTCTCCTGCTGAGTGACAGCTGGGTCCCCAGTATTCCCCTCGGGGACCCAGGAGAGGCTGCATGGGCTGCAGGGACTGAGGAACCCACTGTCTTTCTCAGACCTTTTATAACAAAACTTTATTTCCTCTGAGATTTTAAAAATGTTTTTGTCTTAAATTTCAAGGGACAATAAAAGTAAAACATTTCAGAGAAACTATAGAACCTGTTGAATGGCAGCAGCAGATTCAGGGTGTCTGCCATAGCCCTAGGAGTGTCAGCGCTTCTCACCAGGTGCCTTGGGGGAGGCCACCCGGATGGGGTTCTGACTTGGTTCCTGGAGAGCAGGGCTGCCAGCTCTGTGCTGCAGAGAAATGGCCCACACCGCTGTGAGCCTGGACTATTCTGGAGAACCCAGTCACAGGACTTGAAGGCCACCCTGAGGATGGGGCATGGGCCAAGACCACAAGCTGGGTGGCCCGTGCAAGCAGTGCTGACTGTAGGCAGCAGAAGACAGCAGGGTGACCTTGATCCAGGGACATTTCTAGCTCAGCAGAGACTAGAGAGGAGCAACCGAAGGCTGGGTGAGAAGGTAGACTGGGTTCTGGGCTGGGACATCTGGAGAGACCCTGGGGTGCTGAGATCCCCGACCCAGCACCGTGGTGCCCCTGTCAGAGGACGCAAGCTGTCCTGATGGTCACTGTGGTAGCACTCCAGATGCACTCTGTGTCATCGACTGACCACAGAGCCAGAGCGGAAGAGGACTTTCCTTTAGTCAGCAGCTCAGTCCCTGTAGGGCCCTACTGTGTCTTGCTCTTCCTGTGCCTTTTGCACCTGTGGAATTCAACTGGCTGTGCCAGGGCTGCTGGCCGCCTTTCCTCTGTCCCCCTGGCTGTGTTTTTAGAGGAGTGTCAGTGGAGTTGAGGAACTTGTTGGTGTTTGTCTGGGGACAGTTTAAAGTAATCCGATCAGACTGGATATTTCTTAATCCATTGTTTTTGGCTTAAGTAAAAATTCTCTTTTATTCTATGACCTGGCAGAAAGGGCCTGACTGAATATATGTCTTAAGCTTTTTAAAATTCTTATGCATGGTCATAAAACATTAACTAAAAAATCCTTCTTTAGAAGTGAATTTCAACACAGGAAGTTGAGAGAGTGCTTTGGTGGTGTAGTACAGCAATGAGACTCTGAGAATCTCTCGGCAAGGTGGGCACAGCTGGATCCAGTCCTGACCCAAGGCTGCCCGTGCTGTTCTGGGGTGCTGCAATGTTGTGTCTGAGCTTTCCATCAGTGCTAAGTGGCTCTGAACCTGTGGAATCTCCTGGCCCTCCTTCACGGACCTAGCCAGTGGAATCTCCCTGTGGGAAGAAGGAATTAGGCTGGGCAGGCTATGGCCCTGTGATGCATAGGGTGCCAGCCCACCCACAGCAGCCAGAGGTCCCAGTTCCTCAGGATCTTCTAGTTTCACGGATCAAATCTGAGGCTCTCCCTAGGAACCAGCATGCTGGGCTCCCTGCAGATGTGAGGTTCAGGCTGCTTGGACACGACACCTCCTTGATGGGCCAGGGAAGCCTCTCATTGCCGAATCCAGCTCTGCACTGGGTCCCCACACACTTCCACTAGCCCTTGATGCCAGCTGGGCATCCAAGGTCAAACCAGATGCAGCAACTCCATGGGTGACTGTGGTCTCTGGGCCCTATCCTTCTTCACCCTGGGTGCCCCTGTTTTGCAGTACTGGTACTGCTGAGGTCCAGCAACTGATGGTACAGTACAGCCCTTAGCTCTGCCAGACTGGGGCACATAACCATACTGACCGGTCTCTGGGGAGCAAGTGACACTTTCTGGAACTTCTAGACCGGGGCACTCTGAGATGCCTGGACTTCAGAGGAGCCAACTCTGCCTCAGGTATGCCCCTTAGTGTTTCAGCATGGGGCTAGGTCACCCAGTGCCCAGGTCCCCTGTGAGCACTGCCATCGTCCTGACCCCTGTGTAGTCACCTTCCCCACTTGGGAAGGGCTGTGGGACCTGCCTGTGAATCCAGACTGTCACACGGGGCTGTGTTGGCCCAAGCCCTTCTGAGTATGCTGAGAGTGAGAAAGAAGCCTCTGTGGCTGGAGGAAGGGGCAGGAGGATGTGTGAGCCCTGCCCTGCGGACCTGGCTGTCTCTGTGCCTGCTGTTGGCCAGCACTCCATCTCTGGGGTGCCCTGTGATTGGGCAGCAGAAGGTGGTTCAGGGTGATCCTTTGATCAGGTGTTGGCTGGGTGGCCTGGATACGTCCAGGGAAGCCTTCCTCGAGGAGGCCTGCACTAGCTGACAGTGGGACTTCAGTTTACTCTGGAGCAAAGATCCTGCGTCTAACCAGGCCACCATGGTACCTATGCAGAGGCCTTAGAAAATTGGGACCAAAGTCAGAGAAGCAGTCTCTCTCCTTCATATCTTTGTAAAACATATTTTTCTGTTCTTTTTCAGAAGCAGCCTCCCCTTTGCCACTCCTAAAACTGTGTATTCCTGTCAATGGGTTGGCTCGGGGCACCCAGCTGTACTCACCAGACTGTAACGGGGTCCAGGCCTGTCCCAGCTCTCTTCTGCTGGCTGTGGTGGCCTGGCTGTATGTGGATCCTTCCTTGGGGAGGCAGCAGACACTTGGAGGCTCTCTGTGTGGTAGTGAGGACCAGACCTGCTGGACTGGTCTCCTTTTAATCCTGTCCCTCCCTTGCAGGGCTAGGAGGGCAGCAGGGATCAGGCCACCAACCACATCAGAGTCTACAAGGGAGGGAAAGGAGGAGTGGTGAAGGCCCTGGACCCCAGCTCTGGTGACTTTGGGGCACAGCACACTCTGGCTCCAAATATTCTGTCCTATGACTTCCTGAGGATTTCTGAGTGGAAATGACAGGGCACATTGCTGTCCCCTCTGTACCAGCAGTGTAGGTCAATCAAAGATCAGAGGTGGTGAAGCCTCACACTCTGTCCTAACATTTTTCCAGGTGAGTAGAAGAGAAATGGTCTGCTGACCCTGGTTTATGCTGTACATAATATTCTGGAAGAATAAAAGCCAAGCGGGGAGGAGTGAAGATGGCAGCTAGATAACAACTGGCTACAGAAACTCCTTGAGATAGTCAACTTAGAATTCATCATAAGACAGAGTGGGGAGCCCCAACAGAGGGAGATGAATTCTCTTGTGCCAAAAAGTAGTTAATGTGACTTGCTGACTATCCAAGGTCCTGCTGCGAATGGCCAAATTCCCACCACGAATTGCCAGGGTCCCACCGTGATTTGCTGAGGTCCTGCCATGACTTGCCAAGCCGTCCGAGGTCTCACCACTTTGACTCACTGGAGGCACAGTTACATTGAGTTTGGGGGTCAGCGAGCCAAATGGAGAGCTGAGTTGGCAGGGTGCCTACATCGACCTGTGGTGAGTGACAGTAGTGGAGCCATAGAAAGTGGGGCTCCGTCAGAGGACATTCTGGGATGGGGCAGGACTGCCAAGTACAAGGGGCAGCAGTGACTTCAGTCAATTGTTCCCTTCCCAAACAGGATTGGTGGAGTGAGCTAGGCCTGGGTCCCGTGACCCAGCTGAGACCTAGTAGGTTATCCGAGTCCCTGCAGTAGTGGCGCACACTAACCACACTAACCACACTGGCCCAGTGGGGCCTCAGAGGTTTGGCTGGTCTGGAGGGGAAGCACAGCAAAGTAATACAGTAGTGCAGGCCACAGCAGCTTGACTGATCTGGAGGGGAGAGGCCAGCATATGCTGTCCCTGTCTGCTCATACTGCAGTGAGCTTCACACAGCTTCAGAAGAATTATAACCAACAAAGAAAGAAACTGGGGCCTCTTGGAAGAAGCAAAAAAGGTGGGAAGAGGAAGCAACAACAAAAAGTCCCCAGGCCCCAACCCTGAGAACACTGACCCAGGACAGGTAAATACAAAGGAGAATGAGAACAGCAAACATGCAATATCAGACACAGCACCAGTGGACATAAAGAGATATATTCAGTACCTCATAGATGAGTTCAAAAGTGAAATATTTAGCCAAATAAAGCAAGATATAAGAAGATTAATAAAAGAGATACTAAGCACCCCTCAAGCAGACACAGATGGAAGAAGAGAGGAACTCAAAAGAGAGAACCATTTGGTGAAGAATATAAAAAAAATAGAACACATGAATCAGATTCAAAGAGATCACCAGGAAATTAAAAAACTCTATGGAAAGAACTCTATGCAAATCAGCTTGAAAAGAAACTAAGGATAAATTATTCAAACTGGAGAACAATTTTGTAATGTGGGAGTAATAAAGGGAAACATTTTTAAAAATAACAAGGAAATAAGCAGTAACAATACAAAAGCTAGAAGATGACGAAAAGATCTATAACTTGAGAATAAAGAATGTAAATGAAGAAGCTGAGATACAAACAAAGGAACTACAAAGGTTATTCACAGAAATAATTAAGGAAAACTTCCCAAACATAGGATAAGGAAATAATATTCTGATATATGAGGCATACAGAACTCTAGCCATCTACAACCAAAACAGAGCTCCACCCAGGCATATAATAATCAAGATCCCAGAAATTCAATATAAGGACAGAATATTAAAAGCTGTTAGAGACAAGAAACATATAACCTACAGAGGGAGGCCGATCAGAATAACAGAAGACTTCTTGAGACAAACCATCAAGTCAAGAGGAGCCTGGAGTGAAATATTCCAAGCCCTGAAAGAAAATAACCTCCCTCCCAGATTTATATACCCTGATAAACTGTCTCTAGAAATTAATGGAGAAACAAGATGCTTCCAAGACAAAGAGGTACTTGGGAAATTCACAACCACCTATCCAACTCTACAGAGAATACTGCAGGGCATTCTAGAGAGAGAGAAAAGTACTAGGATTCCAGGAACAGTGGCAGAGAGACCTCAATGAATGGAGCAGAAAACAGAATGAAGAAGATAAGCAGACAACTCATGGCAAAAAAAGACCCTAACAGAAATGAGGCAGAGAAGACTTTATTCAAAACTGATATGATTGATAGTACCAAGTCTGAGAGTATAGGCAACTACACTGAAGATGGCAAGACTCTATATTAAACATTTTGGTTTGCTAACTGCTGGTTTTTGAAGTTCTATACTATACACAATGTTGTGTTTTTATTAATACTGTTATACTGACATATTCAATTATACTATGTCTGATGATATAGCCAGTTCTATTGGAGATAACAAGAGACAACACGAACCATGGTAGAATGATTTGTACAATTGTCTTATATGTTATTTGGTTTCATGTGTTTATAGGAATATGTTTTGTTTTGCCTTGCTTTGTTTTGTTTTTTCCTCTAATATAGAAAAGATAAAAATATATGTTAAGACTCATGCATATGTAGAATCTATAAACAGTTTATTAGAACTTATCATATGACACATGATGAAATGAACAGATACTTTGAAGAAAAAGAGACTAAAATACCCAGTGCTAATCCTGGAGTGTCACAATGTGAAATGCAGCAATAGTATTATTCTTTGTTCAGAGTGATATTAGCCTGCTTGGGTTTATTCAATCTCAACATAACTGAAGGTATGGATAATTGCATGTATGTTTAAGTGTATAGGATTGCTAACCATATTTCTAAGTTTTTGTTGGATAGTTGAACAGAACTGGTTGCAATCTCACTGTTTGAGTCCCCACTTTATAAGCTCCACTTTAGTATTTTGAATAACTATTTGTAAGAAGACAATCTGTAATCATCAACTAGTGATTTCTTACTGTTTATTTTCCTCTTTGAAATTATATATTATTTCTACCCATTTTCTGTTTTGTTTAGCTTTTCTTTAAATTAAATTAAAAAAAAGACACTACAGTACCCAGTTCTGATCATGGAGTGTCATGATGTGAAATCCAGCAATACTATTATTCTTTGTACAGAATGAGTTTAACTTGCTTTAAGTTTTTTTTTTTTTTTTTTTTTTTTTTTTTTTTTTTTGTCTTTTTCATTGTTATCGGTACCAGGGATCGAACGCCTGACCGCCTGCTTGCAAGGCAGGTGCTTATGCCACTGAGCTAAATCCCCAGCCCTTGCTTTAGTTTGTTTAATTTAAACATAAATGAAGATATTGGATAACTGCATGTATGTTTAAGTGTATAGGATTGACAACCATGTTACTAAGTTTTTGTTGGACAGTTGAACAGAACTGTTTGCAGTCTTGCTGTTTGAATTCCCACTTTACATGTTCCACTTTTGTATCTTGAACAAGTATTTGTAAAACAACAATATGTAAACATCATCTAGTGATTTCTTACTTTTTAAAAAATCTGAATGTATGTATTATTTCTACCTAATTTCTGTTTCCTCTAGTCTTTCTTTAAATAAAATTAAAAAAAAAGAATAAAACCCAAGGTTAAAAATGCCTTAGTGCGCTCTCTGGGTTGGTTAAGTTTCCATTTTCCTATAATGATACTCCAAACTGAGCATTTATTTGGTTTGGCTTGGTGTAATTCTCTGAGTACCTCAGGTGATTCCACTGTCATAGGACGTCTTGCTTGAGGGGTGTGTGGTTCTCTCACAATTTGTGAAAATCTGCGACTTTCATTTGATAAGGCTAAAGCTGCCTTCACACTAAGGTTATTTTGTATGTGGGTTTTATTTTCCTTGCAGTGTGAACTTCACTACAATTTTTAAAATTACTCTTGTCCAGCCTTAAGTGCTGGTTTTATTTGAGGCAGTTGTGATTCCCCACAGGATGTTGCCCAGCAGCAAACCTGCAGAGCTCACTGAAGGGCAGTGCACACGGGCTCCATTCCTGAGTGTGCCCTTGGGTTCTACAACTGGAGCCTGCGTGGGTCCTGCTTGATAGTCAGGACCCTTCCGAGTCCTCAGGAAGAAACCCAAGGCTCAGAGAATGTCCATAACCTCCCTGGAGCCAGACAGTGGGCCGGATTCCAGCCCCAGAGCTGGACCCAGAGCTGCTGATGACCTAGAGCCACCGGGCCACTGCCTGTTTCTCCACAGAGAGAATGGAGATCCCAAGGCACGGGTTGTACAGCTCAACACCACCCCAAACGCATAACACCTCATCTGCTCTGCCTCCTGGAGTTGGCAGATTGTGAAGCAATGATTTTTGAAGGAAATTAGCCAACACTCAGTTGTCTAAATACATAAACTATTCTGCAAGTTTTTGTATGGTAAATAATAATCTCTGCAGCCAATTACATTAAATATAAAGACATTTAAAGCTGAGACACTTGCCCTAAACAAGGAGATTGAAAATTATGAAAGCACACATTTGATCTCAAGTGATTCCAGTTTTGTTTGCTCTGGTGGTAAAGTTGGTGAAATAGTGGTGAAACACTCTGGTTTCTCCTTATTGGCAATTTCTGGATGTTTGATGGCCCTGTTCATGGTCACCGAAACTTGAGGCCCAGGTTTCAGTGGTGGTTACCTGGAAGGTGCCTGATGAGCTATGAAGTAATTAGGTGGGTTCTGCCATCTGTGTACAGATGCTGAGGACTTTCAACTGGAACAGCCAGTGGGAGAGTTGGTGCCCTCTGAGGGGAAATGGCCAAGGAGGCCACTTTCACTCATCTGTGGACCGCAGCATGTGGAAATGGTAAGTGCATTTGTGGGCAGCATGGAGTGAAACAGCAGAGGCACCTGTTAAAAAATTCAGAACTGGGTAAAAACTGAG